TAATAAGTATTATTTTTAAAAAAAGAAAAGAAAAAAGAAACGTGACCTGCATCCATTGATTATACTAAGATTTCCTTTCCTCTTTAAACATATCACATTATATGAGTCTCCCCCCACAGTCAGTTGGATGTTGAGCGTGTCAAGCTACAAATGGCTGTGAGACCTTCTGTTTCTTGATACTAACCATCAAAGCATGGAAGGAAAAAAAAAACAAAGCAGAAGAAATCTTCCTCCAACCCCCCCCCCCCCCCCCCCAACCAATCAAGATGATTTCACCCTTCTAATAAAAAAGAGGATTCCAACGAAACCACGACAGGCAAGCGCTTCTTGGAAGTAGCGCCTGAAAACTGAAATAGAGATTTTTTCTTACCGCAAATTTCTTGATGTAGTCGGAGACGCAAGATCCCCCCATGCTCAAACCAAGGGACTTATGCAGTGAAGAACTCTGATAAAGGGTGCCCATTTTCCTTTCTTTTCTTTTCTTCTCTTTTTTTGCTATTCCCCTCGTACTTGTTGGGCAAACCACCAAGGACGGCCCACGGCTTTTGACTCAATTGAGGAAGAATGGAAGCCTGGCTCAATCTTGGCTGGAATTATCTGTCGCCGAATGCTGAACCAGGCATTTCAACCACTCTCTTATCTTGAAGGGCCGAGCTGTTATCTGTATTCCTGCAGCTCACTTCCTGAATGGCTGATAGGGGCCATGGCACAGAGCATTGGCGCTGACGGGACTAATGAAATCTGTACAGGGGCTCCCCCATTCTACTGCACGAACGCCCTTTGGTAACCTGTGTACACCAGAGGCAATCCCTAGGAGTGTTACTTGCAGGATAAGAGGATTATCCTGTCTAAATTAAATTAAAGGGCTTTGGCAATGCGTCGGGTGCAATTCTCAAAAATTACTTCAAAAGTAGGTTAGGGGCATGAACAAAGCCTACCCTTAGGCAAGAAAAACCAAAAGGACACATGTAGACCGGGCAAAACCAGGCTCAATAGCAGGAACTGGGAGGGGGATCTTGGAGTCTTCGTGGACAACCAGCTAAATAGGAGCCAGCCGTGTGCAGCGGCAGCCAAAAAAGCTAAGGCAATCCTAGGTTGCATTAACAGAGGGATGCAGTCGAGATCAAGTGAATGGATGGAAACCAGTCAAGGAGAGAAGCAAACCTGAAACTAAAGAGAAACTTCCCAACAGTGAGGACAATTAACCAGTGGAACAGCTTGCCACTAGACGTTGCAGGTACTTTGTCACTGGCGATTTTTAAAAAGAGACTGGACAGCCAATTTGTCTGAAATGGTATAGGGTCTCCTGCTTGAGCAGGGGGTTGGACTAGAAGACCTCAAAGGTCCCTTCCAGTTATATTCTGATTGAACATGGATGCAAGTCCGTAATAGGTTCCAAGGGACAAACACAGCCCAGAGCCGAGATGGTGAGCTAGAGAGTCATAGCTACATGCAAAGGTTGCAAGAGGAAGAGGGAGGGAGGGAAAGAGGAAGGAAGGAAGGAAGGAAGGAAGGAAGGAAGGAAGGAAGGAAGG